CATTATGTAGTTGAAGCGGTGGTCGTATTTACACAAACATGAAGGGTATTTTCGTAATTTAACATCACCTTAGGGCTTAGATGATTGCCGTAAATTATCTAGTGCATTTTGAGTGGCTGCAGATTTAATTACGAAGATATGTATAAATACTAATAATATTTACAACTCTACCCCACCTCACACCCGCCAAAAAACCAAAACAAATGGATCATAAATTATAACAAGGGCATTTGGTTCAAGCACATGCATTTTCTACATTAGTACACAGTATGTGGTTGTTTGAACCATTCTTAATCAGCAGTTATAAGTTGATATCATGTGCAATTAACATCACAATAACCTCAACTACCATATGTATAAATATTTATATATTTCTTTTTTTTAATATCTCATTTAATTAAACATTATTCTCTTCACCAATCCAAATCCCTTCTCTTTTTATATGCTTATCATCCATGTGACCATACCTACTAATTAATTTCAACTATGCTTAATTATTCTCCTAATTAATGACGCCTAATCCTTATTACCATTAAATAGTCTGTCTTTTTTATTTTATTAATAGAATAGTAAAATATATATTTGGGTTTTTTTTTTCCTACTTCGTTAAGCTTTAATAGGTTTGTTCGATATATCATTTGTGTCATACGAAAAATTGTTGAACAGTTTAATTCACAATTGAGAGTGTGATTGGATAATTCATAATTGTATACGGAGAAATTAGAATTGTTAGTTGTAGATCTAAACATAATCACATGCACGCATACTCATGTGTATGTATGCTTAGTGGATGGTTATTTAACCTCGTCTACAGTTAACAAGCACCCGAGGCAGCATCTAACTTGAGGTGTACACAACAAGGCCATCTGATATGCCAGGGGGTTTAACACTAATTAAAACAAGAGGAATGTCTTTACTTTTGTTGTTATTCCAAAATTAATCATTTTTTTTTAATTATAAAATTCACTGAAAATTGTTTCCAAGTGAAAAATAAATAAATATATGGAGGATCTTTATAAATCAGTACTACAAGATTTGATCACGTTGTAAACTTCACATTCCCATATGCACTTTCAATTACAAAATTAATTAATTATTTCGTCTTTTTGAAGTATTTTTAGTTTCGATTTATTTTTCCACTTTCAGAATCTAATCATTTCGAGAAAACACCTGCAATTTATTATTTTCGTTTCATACTTTATTTTTATTTGTAAATAAAATTGCAGAAATGGCTATGTTTATATTGTATAGTCATAAATTAGAAGCACATGTATAGCAGAAGTCAGATATGATTTTCTAATAATTCATATATGTTAGGAGCCATAAATAAATTATCATAAAATTAATTAATGGGACCTCATTATATCCAATTTATCAATTTAAATACTATGAATCAATTGTTATGAATATTTCACATATATAAATATTAAAAAATAATTGACTTATGTTAAAGCAAAATTAAGAGCAAAGAAACAAGTAATGTGGATGGGCCGGATGGTGGAAAACAGGGCCCGAACTGAATTAATTCTGGCCCAGCTCCAAAATCTAAACATTCAAATGGCCCCTATTAATGGACAATTTACCATATTTATATATTTAAATCTATTTTCTCAATAATTTGAAAAAAGTAAGCAAAGTTCTAATATATTTGAAAATATAATAAAAATTCATACAAAATAGAAGGCAAATGGTTTCTTATTTTCAAATGATAATACTAAAATACTAAAATTATGAGGTGCGCTACGATGTCGTATAGATTATGAGAAAAAAAAATATTTAATATTTTCACAAATAACACGATAATATCTCTTCACAAAATTTTAATGTAATAATCTCCACATGCATCTTCTTAGAAAATGAATCAAATTATGGGTAAAAAAAATTCGGAATGTGCAAGTCAGCACCATAAGTCTAAAGTGCGCGTATTTTCTACCACTAATTAATCTTAGAATAACTGGCAGCATCTGATATCCTATATAATTATCAATTATTGATCATTTCCTCCTACTAATTCCAATTAAAATCATGAAATGTCAATAATGTAATGCAAATTGTCCATATATATGAAGCTAAAGGATTAAAGTTTTTCCAACCTTTATAATGAGAACATGGCATGCACAAATAAAATTCCAAGAAACGTGAAGCCAATATATCCATGACACAAAATTAAATAATTATTTATATAGATTATTTAATGCCCCAAGAATGCATTTCTTATTTGGAAGCTTCTATGACAAGTTACATAGAATAAAATCATAATTATATTTTCTCCTAAGGTTTTTCTTATTGTTCATTATGCAATATGTTTTTCTAACATGGTCAAAGGTATCATACCATATGAAAAATAGGCCCCTTTCTCATGATAGGATGACTACAAATATTTACTCAAACATAAGCACGTGCCATGCCCATTGCCATGTAGATAGTTCAAATCACAAACATCTTATACATCAGTTCATATATTTTTTAAAAATTATTTTGTCACAAATTGGAATTTTCCAAAAAAAATAAAATTTAGTTAGATATAAATTAAATATGGGTCATCTAATCACCATTTATTTGTTTGACCAACAAAAATTGTCCCACTATTAGTGGGAAGTGTCTTGGATTAAGGAACTATTGGGGTCAATCTTAACTAGTGATATTGATTTCATTCTTTTGGAAATTTCCATTACTACAAACATTATGGTAAGATGTTGCTCTTGATGGAGAATCATTTAACTTGCCTACAATTTCAATTTTCAATTCAAGGTCATTACATAATTACAAAATTTGATTTTAATTGTTATAATAATGTAACGGCGAACACTGATGAAACCAGCATAGGATAAGGGGGGCCATGGCCCTCCAACATCTCTCAAGTCTGTTTTATTTTATATTGTAATATAAAAAAAATCATGTACAATAGCATTATCGTCCGTCCCTCTATTAAAATCCGCATATTTCTTTAATGCAATCGACACCCGACATAAAATTCTGGCTCCGATAATATTAGTCGGAAACACATTTTCCTAGATGGTGTCCATATTAGGGAATCAATATTTGGCCATCTATTACTCTAGTTTGTCAAAACCTATGGATGACATTTGGGGGAATGTGAACAATTTGTTATAAAATTATATCATAATTGTGATTATTTTCTTTTAAATTTAAATATACTCAAAGTTTCTATTCTCAATAAAAAATAAAAATATATATTAAAAAAAAAAAAAAGGAGAGACTAATAATTAATAGTGTTGATTAGATAAGCAAACGTGCAAAAACAAAACAAGTCAGTGAAAGTAGAGGCCTAACTCTAGGGAAAAATAGGCAAATAGGCAGGCTTAGTTGTGTATTAATTAAGGACGACAATTATTAGTTAATTACTATTAGCAGTAAGAAAATGAATTTAAAAGTGCCTAACTCTGATTATTATATTGATTATGATTAGGTTAAAAGATTGTTTTGATAGTATTTTACAATCCCCAATGTCACAAAAAGTCTTCTGTAAATTTTGACAACTAGGGTTTTCCAGAATATCACGCTTTTCAAAATCGGGTTATTATATTTATATATTATATATATATATATATATGTGTGTGTGTAGGTGTGTGTGTTTGGGGTTACGTCAGCAGTAAATAGAGTTAAAAGGCACTGCATATAAAAGCTGTTATTTTTTTTTCTTTATTTAAAAAAAAATTATTTTCACAAATAAACCATGTATTGGGTATAAAAAAAAAAAAAAAAAAAAAATCATCTTAATTTTTTATTTGGGGTGGTGAAGGTATCAACCAAACACGAGACAATTATTTTAAAATATAGGATCAATTTTTTATATATTATTTGAACGAATAAAATAAAGGATCAATTAATGAGATACCTTCCGCAGTGATATGGTAATTAAGGAACCTAGATCTTGCCAAGCTGGACGCTGACATCAAGAATTTCGCCCTGAATTTACCATTCTGCCCCTACATTTTTCAATTTTTTTTTTTAATTTGGAATAACAGAAGACAAAAATGGAGGTGAAGCATGAAATGAAGAAAAAAGCTTATCTTTCATTTAACTCTGTTTTCATTTCCGCCCTTTTGAGCAGTGATGTTAATCTGTAATCAATTATCACTATAGGAAATTGACAAGTAATTAATAAGGATGAAGTGAACATATCTAATTGTGGACAAAAATTGAATGAACATGATTTAATTGGCTCATGCAAATATACTAATAAAGAAGTTTACTCCCATGGGTAAAAACACAGGGTCAGGGTGGGGCTGCTTGCCCTTTTATTAGTAGTTACATTTAATTTAAGTGCTGTTGATTACTTCTTATAACTAATATTCAAGAAAATATTATATTTAATTATTTATTCACCATTTCCTTCATCTCTCTCTCTCTCTCTCTCTCTATATATATATATATATATATACACGAGATATGACTGTATACAATGAGAGAGAGAGAGAGAGAGAGAGAGAGAGAGAGAGAGAGAGGGGAGGGAGACACTCAAATCAAATGCAGCAAAGAGAAAGCCTTTATTTGGTATTGAGAGGAAAATGAAAGAAACAATAACGAGTTTCTCTCATTAATTGTTGTTCCTCTGTATCCTTAAAAATACAAGAATCTGTATCTATTCATTACTACTTTGTCTCTTTATCTTTTTTTTTTTTTAATTTTTGTACTTGCTCTGTAAATCTCTGGTTTTGGCGGCTGGTTTCATCTTCGACAGATCCCATCAATTCTTCTTTCAAGTTTTTTGTTCGCCGGAAAATGGGCACCGGTTGGAGGAGGGCTTTTTGCAGTACTGTGTCGAGGGAGAGAAGAGAGCACACCGCCGCCGCAGCTCCGTCGGTCACGGCGGCGGAGAAGCAGCAGAGTCCCAATAAGAAGCTCGCCGGAAGCAATCCCTCCACTCCCCGATTGCGGTGCAAAACAAATAGTGGTAATATTGATGTGTTGGTTAGCCCGAAAAAACTGGAATGCAAAACCACACCGAAAACTCGGCTTGGTTCGAATCCATCTTCTCCGAGATCCCCTTTCTCTATCCTCAAGAACTCTCTCCGCCTATCCAGGGTAAGAATCATTATACATATATATAACCATTTATATGTAAATATATAAATGCTAACAAGAAAGTTGTGGTCTTTATTGTGGGTGCAGAATAGCTGTGGAGTGTGTATGCAGAGTGTGAAAACAGGGCAAGGTATGGCAATCTACACGGCGGAATGCTCGCACGCTTTCCATTTCCCCTGCATAGCCTCGCACGTGCGGAACCAGACCACTCTCGTCTGCCCTGTTTGCATCACCGTTTGGAAAGATGTTCCTTTACTCTCCATCTACACTCAGAACCCTAACCCTAACCTCAATCCGCAACAGCAAGAAGAAAAAAATGTTCGAATTGATTCTAATTGCAGTACGCCAACCAAACGCACCCCTATTTCTATCCCTAAATTGACCAAGCAATTTGAGCTGAAAAGTTACGCCGATGATGAGCCGTTGGTCACGCCGAAATATGGTGGGAAATTTGTTGCTATTAAGGAAGAAGCTGCTAGAAATGGCGGAGTGGAGGAGGTTGAAGAGTTTCAGGGTTTTTTTGTGAATCCTATTTCTAGCGATGATTTCTCTGCTTTCGGCGGGGATTTTCGGGATGTGGAGGTGTGTTTTTCGCCGGAGGCTGCTGTAATTTCGCAGGGGCGGACGCACGACACTTACGCCGTCGTTTTGAAGGTGAAGGCGCCGCCGCCGCCCCACGTTCGCGACTCGCCGCGGCGTGCGCCGATTGACCTGGTGACGGTCCTCGATGTGAGCGGCAGCATGACTGGTGCCAAGCTGGAGATGCTCAAGCGAGCCATGCGTTTGGTCGTTTCCTCGCTCGGCTCGGCTGACCGTCTCTCCGTACTGGCTTTCTCAGCGGCTCCTAAGAGGCTGTTGCCGTTGACGAGGATGACGGCTCAGGGTCAGCGATCGGCTCGGCGGATCGTTGACCGGCTTAGCTGCAGCCAGGGCTCCAGCATGGCTGAAGCTCTGAGGGAAGCCACTAGGGTTCTCGAAGAGCGGCGCGACCGGAACCCCGTCGCCAGCATAATACTCCTATCCGACGGCCAGGACGACGGCGGCGCTCCGGCCAACAACGACAGCAACCAACGACGGAACGGGTCGTCACACAAGACCCGGTTCGCCCACGTGGAAATACCGGTTCATTCAACCGGCTTCAGCCGCGAGCCGGCCGAAGATGCCTTTTCCAAATGCGTGTCCGGGTTACTGAGTGTGGTTGTTCAGGACTTGAGAATCCAACTCGGGTTTGCATCCGGGTCTGACCCGGCAGAAATAACGGCCGTTTACTCGTGTACCGAAAACCCATCTGTACTCGGGTCGGGTTGTATCCGGTTCGGAGATCTCTACGCTGAGGAGGAAAAAGAAGTACTCGTGGAAATTCGGGTTCCATCTTCGCGGGTCGGGTCACACCACGTTGCATCCATTAAATGCTGTTACAAAGATCCAGCCACCCAAGAGCTAATCTACGGTCCGGAGCAGACGCTTCTGCTTCCGAGGCCCCAGACCGTCAGATCAGGATCGCCGAGGATCGAACGGCTGAGAAATGCTTTTATATGTAACAGAGCCGTAGCCGAGTCCCGGGGGTTAATAGAGCACAACGAGCTGTCCAGCGCCATGCAGCTGTTGTCATCGGCTCGAGCCTTGTTGCTGCAGTCGAGGTCGGAGTCTGCCGGTGAGAGCATCAGGTTTTTGGAGGCGGAGATGGCGGAGGTGCAGTGGAGGAGACAGTACAACCACCAGCAGCAGCAGCTGCAGGTGGCGGTGGGGCGGAGGAATGAAGAGAGAGAAATGGGGTTGTTTGTTGATGAGAACGGTGAGCCGCTTACGCCGACATCAGCTTGGAGAGCGACTGAGAAGCTGGCGAAAGTGGCTCAGATGAAGAAATCTTTTCACAGACCAGTCAGTGATTTGCACGGCTTTGAAAACGCTAGATTTTAGTTTTCTTTTTCTTTTTAATTTATTCTTTGTTTTTTAATAAAATAAAAAAGCTGACTGGGAAAATATTGATTAAAAGAAAATAGAGAAAAAGAAAAGTATTGGGCCGAGGAAACATTTGTTTCTGATAGGCCGGCCCTTTTATGTTAGGCCGACGTACACTTTGATTTGTTGCATGGACCCTATCTTCTTTTGTTTCTTTATTTTCACATATTTTCTTTTTATCTTTATCTGACAAGAATTAAATCAACTTACAAAATGCCATTTTTATTTTTAATGATAACTATTGAAGTAGATTGGTCCCTCCAACTACGATAATAAATACTTAATTTCTATAGATGCATCCAACATTACTGCATTACTTGAATTTAATAATCATGTATTAAAAACTGTCTTCCCAGAACGCAGAAGATGCAGGCTACATGTCAATGTAAATGGTCCTAAAGAATTCCCCTTCTTATCTTACTAACCTATGCCACATATATGAAGTTCTAGAAGAATTACAGGTGTTCAAAAAATTAAAATTAAAATTAAATTACAAGGATAAATACTGTTCAAGAGAGGTTACAGACAACAGGACCAAGCTCACATCTCAGTAAGCATTGTACATTAATGCACACATATGACCAATTAGAAAAGGTATTCAGTATTTCCAAACAAATGTAACACATCACATCATTGTGTGGAAAGATTTTCAAGAAATCAATTCCCATAAATATATATATACTACTACCAAAAAAAAAAATCACCACCACAAGAAAAAGCACAAATCAAAGGACTTCTCCGCTTATTCACAATGGAGGGCTTCGCCAAGAAACGGGATCCAAAAAACACCCAGTAAAGCTACGAATATAACCTTACTCACGTTTGTGTTTGCTCCACCTTAGCTCGAATCTTTTGTTCCAAAACAGATATCTCAGTTTCTAGGCTGAACATCCGGTTAAGTGCGTGCATGTTCTCGAGCGTCTCGCTCAAAGTCCGACTATCACTCCCATCGCACCTCAAGTGCTGCATCGGGCCGTGAAGCAGCTTGTTCACAATCCCTCTGCTGAGGTCATCCACCGCCTTTCGTGTCTTCTTCGGAATATCTTCCCCCATTTTAGACAAGCACTTGTCCAGCTCAGCAGCTCTTATTCTTTCGCATA